TTGCAAAAACGTATAGCATGCGAAGAGTGAGAAAGAAAAAAAAACCCCTCTTGCACACCCTTCCTTTTCGTTTTTCAGTGACAGCAGTTCGGCCAAATATGAACAGTATACAAAAAAAAAAAAAAGTTAAACACAACAAATGACAGTTATAGATGTTGCAACTTTTAACTGCATCTACCAAAAAGCTGTGAAGCCAGAAAGACACCCGAAAATCAATCAACAAAAGTTACCGACCTGTTTACTAATTTCTGCGTTATGCATATCCGGTTGATGCTCACATATTTTACGCCTCTCCATTTGTGACCATACCATAAAAGCATTCATCGGTCTCTTGATATGATTACTCGATTTTTTACAGTTCGTTGCATCCGTATATGGAGTAATGCTGTTTTTTGCCACCTGAACAACATCAACAAAAACATCATAAATACAAATAAATGTTATTCTATTTAAACAATTTGCTTTTATTTTTTTTGTAAACTTGACATTAATCAAACGTTAGAAGGAAAAATTAGAAATTTAAAAAGAAAAAACTATCTCCCGTTTCTTTACACAAAATTTTCACTTAAACGACAACGGCAGTAGTAACTATAACTACAACTACAAACATAACAACAACTACTACTAGCACTACTAATACTACTACTGTTACTGTATAAAAACTGGTATTATATGCTACGTGAGCGGAAGCAAATGGTGTGTAAAAACGACAAAGAACCCAATGATACCGATAAGGAAACGTGGCAAATGAAAGATAAAAAACAGTGGTAAAATTTTTGAATTTCTTCAAATTTAACTTAGCTCTAGAAAAAACTACTGTTCAACATGTATTTAAAATGTAATTCCCAACCTCCTCCTGTACACCACTTATTCTGTATCATACTCATCAGCATACATCCACAACATCAAATTCGAACGATTCAAACACACTCCCTCCTTCACTTCTCACAAATTCTAATTTTTTTTCCCACTCTCGGCTTGATAAATGAAAAAATAAAACAAGAAATCTTGTTATAAATGAACTAATGACCAAAATGTTTCAAAAAATAATATACAATTTACAAAGTTACACTCACAACCACCAACGCACAAAAATCATCAAAAATACACACCAAAAGGTCCAACTGAAACAAAATGCATTAGATCATCAACAAAGAACCATAAACAATCTTTTTCCCCTCCTTTTCATCACGCTTCTTCTAGTCCTCCAGTTTTTTGACTTCATTAAATACAACACAGAAAAAAAAACAAAAAATAAAAGGATAAAGAAGAAAAAGTAATGCTCTGAATTTTCCTCACATAAAGAAGTTTTGGTGCAACCTTTAATGATCCAAAATGCTCCGTGGGATCCCAACTATTTGTTGCTGTTGAGTTAGCATTACTAGCACTGCTATTATTACTTGCTGTGCTGTTCGCAACAGCAATTTGCGGATAATGGCCAGTCATCTGAAACAGCGACAACAAATAAAATAATATCAAAGTGATCAATCAAGACTTTTTTCTTGGATAAATCAAAGTGACAGTCATCAACCCATCATCATCATCGTCATCGTCATCATCACCATCACCATCATCAAATCTTTCATAATATTCATTTTTCACTTCAACAATTAAAAAAACACTTTCTGATTATTTCTTTCTCACCTAACTTCTTTCCCCTTCCTTTTACTTTCACTGTTCTCCTTATTTTTATCCATCCTAACGCGTCACCGTAACTATAAAACATTTGAACAAAAAAAAAAATACTTACAGAAGACTGATTTAACTGCAAATGACTGTCACAAAACTCCATCTCTGTTTTGATAGATGGAAATTTTATCTGAGTCGTCGGTTTATCCATAACGAGGCCACCTGAAGACATGGCCCGTCCGATATATCCAACTTAAACCTTTTGAAGTCCAAGTAACAGTAAAATACGCTGATGTTGTTGGTCCGCTAAACTGAAATATCACCGATGATCTAGTTCGTTTTTCTGTTTCTGTCTACCCATCGTTTTTCAGACGTCCAATTCTAGCATCGTACAACAAGTTTGCAAAGCGAAAACAAATTTAAAAACAAAAACCAGCAAAAAAAAACTAACAACAACTTCCATTACCGCGATAAATTTAAACTGAAATTAAAACAACCAAGTTAGCCAATAAATAAAAAAAAGAGAAGCAGAAAACACAAAAAGTAAAAAAAAAAAATTAAAACACGTACAGCGAATGTAGGAAACATAACATTTGATGGAAAAAAGATTGGTTAAGAAAAAAATGATCGATTATCAGTGAGCAAAAACAAATGAAATCAAGCGAAACTTCAGGTACTCAGATTACTCACTGACCAGAGGTTATATAATCAGCTTAGTAAGCAGAATTACATAAAAAACAATGTTCTCCCTTTTCTTCCTTTCTTCAAATAAAAAAACCCAGTACAGCTTCTTCATCTCCCATATCTGGGTATTAATAACGGTTAAGAGAAAATCGGAGCATTTTTTTCCATTACCTCTGAACTATTGAAAATACTGCAAACAACGGGTAAGTCAAATCCGCAATGTTACTGAAATCGAAAAATAAATAAGTATAGTAACCGGACGAAAATATAGTCATATAATATGGTACTGGGTACTGTCTTTTTTTTTACCTTCAAACTGTGCAACCGTCATCGCTAAGCCTAACTGTCTACAAAAGGGAACTAAACTAAA